GTAACATTTATCATGAATTGAAATAATCTGATTTGTATATTTCACCGTCCTGACTCATTCCCGCGGCCTAACAAGCCCTACACTGACACAGGCTCCTTGCCACTCCTGCCCGTGGGGAGCCACCTGGCCCTGGCTCACTTTGCTCCAGCCACTGGCCTCTGGGCTGTCTCTTGGATGTGTTCGCTCTGTTTTTGCCTAGAAAATTCCCCCAAAATGTATAATGGCAGCTGTTTCATCCCTGTCACGTCTGTGCTCAGAGAAGTCTTCAGGTCCCTGTCTCTCCTTCGCTCTGTTTTATTTTTCTCTATGGCAGCTCTGCCTTGCTGATGTCAGTGTGTCTGTTCACTGGGGTCTTCCCCACTGGAAGGTAGCTTGGTGGGCTGGGGCTTGGTTGTGTTCATTGTGGTGTGCTTGGTGCCAGGAAAGTGGGTGGCTTGTAAGGGGTGCTTATTAATCCGTTGGCACTGAGGGCCAGAAGTCGGTCTCCCCAAGCCTTACACCGCGTGGGCAGACATTGCCTATTGCCTGTCTTGCCCTGGGCACCTCTATGGTAGGAGTGTGGGTTAAGTAGGAGGATCAGTCCAACTTTGCCACGTGAAGACTTTGATCAAGTATAATTAACTATTAAGAAATATGTGTATAGTGTAGTTATTCTTAAATGATTTTGCATTTTAGCTGCATCGTCTAGGTCAGGGGTCCCTAACCCCTGGGCTGCGGACTGGTACCGATCCGTGGCCTGTTAGGAACTGGGCCGCACAGGAGGTGAGTGGTGGGCAAGCGAAGCTTCATCTGTATTTGCAGCTGCTCCCCAGCGCTGGCATCACAGCCTCAGCTCCACCTCAGATCCTCAGGCATTAGATTCTCATGGGAGCCCCAGACCCTGGTGCCAAAAAGGTTGGAGACCGCTGGTCTAGGCTGTTTTCTTTTTCTTGGGAATTACATTATAAATTTGAATTTTTGGTTCTTTTTTATCCTGTCACTTCTTACTTTTCTAACTTTGAGTGACTTACCTAGCATCCACTCTATCCCAAATCATTGCTGGGTTCTCACAGGGAAGCAAAAGATGCTCAGATACCGCTGCCTTTTGTGCCAAACATCGAACCTAGCTCGGTGCCTGACCCATGGCAGATGCTTAACACTCATTTGCTGCTATTGTCAGATATTTTGTTTACTTTTACCAAATTCCTTGCTGCTGGAACCAGGTTTCGAATCTTCGACACACCCTCTCATGCGCCTTGCAGTGATGCTGATTCTGGGGAGACATGGGGGTTCCCTTTTTGCCTTAAAGGTCGATAGGTATTCGTGTTTTGTGGGCTTCTGTCCAGGGTACTGATTCGCTTTGTTCCTAAGAGGTCTTGGCTTCTGTTTTTGCTTCCTTTCGAGGGTGTGACACGCTCATGAGCCCTGTGCCTTATCTTGACGCCACTGGAGCGAGTGGGCCACGGCTGGACTAGTTGCTTGATTTTTCTTTGTAAATTTCCTTCTCTGGTTACTTTGGTTCTAGGTTTATGAGATTTCTCCTCATGAGATGAACTAAGGAGACTTCTAAGACATTCTGAATGATTATTTTTAATCCACATAGGCTAGAGAGGAAGAAACTGCTTTGTCTACCATTCTTTTTCTTTAATATTCATAAATTTTATGGAATTGAAAGGATGTTTGAAAAAATTAAAAAGTTTAAATGTTAAAAGTTACTCTTTGGAATAAACCCGATATGTGGAAAATGTGGGGTTAAGTAATAAGTTAGAGATGGCCATTTTTGATTATATGAAATTTGAGATTCTTTTGAGCTTTTTCATGGTGAATTTCTATGCCCTTCTTTTCAGCTTTCTCTTAATTGATAGCACATGATGACTATTCCCAATGAAAAAAGGTCCCTTAAGTTAAAGTGTTTGAAAAACTATGTGAGAGATAGAGCGTCTGTATTGAAGATTACCCCTCAGGACCCTTGCCCGTTTGTACATATTTGTGTGTATTTCTCCTGAATAATGAAGTTAAGACTTTACAAAGTAACACTGCATTATTTTATAACGGGATAAATCCCGTGTGAACCCTGGGGTAACATTGCTTATTATTTTTTTCCCCAAGGATTCTATGCTTTTATCCTGACATCGGCAGTCGTCGGAGCGGCTCTCTTCTGGGGCGTGGAGCTGTATTATGTGTACAGGCACTTCCTTCAGTTGGCGCTGGCAGCCATCGTCTTTTCTGTGGTCCTGAGTGTTTATCTCTACGTGCGGGCTTTGCGGGCTCCGCAGGACGAACTGTCGCCAGCCAGCTCTGGTGAGCAGTGTTGGAACGTGGGTCACGAGTGCATCCCACGGCCCTCCAGCAGCCGCCTCTCCGTGTGCCCACAATACTCTAATAGCTTCAGTTTATGAGAGATGAAGAGAAGTAAGAACAAATAAGAAGAAATAAAAAGATGAGGAAAAAATTTACAGAAAAATAAATTTAAAGGAAAAACCTATATTGGATTTTTTCCGAGTTGTTTCTCCTCCTTGTTTAGTCACCTGATAACAGTAAGATATTTTAGTAGCTTACTTATATTTTGGTAATCTTAATAGCATCACAATTTATGACAAGTATTATTTTTTTTGTCCTTAATAGTAAGCATCCTTTAAAAACTACAACAAAATAACAGATTACAGATTGGTTGATTCCGGCCCAAAGTACTTAAACATTAAAAAAAAAATTAAGTTGCTTATTTAAAAAAATTGTGAGTCCACATAAAAAAAACTCTAGTTCCCTTAAAATCAGGATCCGGCTCTACGGACCCCTGTGCTTGTTTGTGTGGCAGCATGGACGCCTCCAGCTGGGTCCTGTGTCCCCAGCCACCCCAGTCCTCACCTGTCCTGAAACTCGCCACCTGTCTGCCAGGCTCCTGGAGGCGAGTGAGCTGTGACCCTAGGTAGTTGCCAACAGTGCGTTTTCAAAGTCTCACTGGGTTTGGAATAGAACCTTTCCAGAAAGCTCTGTTAAGAACTTTCTCTTCTCAGGAAATGCCATCTATGATTTCTTCATTGGCCATGAATTGAATCCTCGGATTGGCACTTTTGATCTGAAATACTTTTGTGAGTTGCGCCCCGGATTGATCGGATGGGTATGCCTATTTTTTTTTTTTTTTAAATTTCAGTTCAGTACAGATTAGTGGATTTAGAAAGAGTTCTAGAGTTGTAGACAATTTTAAAGTAAGCTGTGGGCGGTATATTTTTAGGAATAATTATAGCTTTCCTTAAATCTGTCTACCTAAAATATTTTCTTATTGTAAATATATTCCAGGGGGTTAAGATGCCCTGTTAATGGTTAGTAAACCTTAAAAGGGTTTGCTTTATTTTGATTATATCCATTTCTATTTATGTAGGAAAACTAGATAGTAGAGATGAAGTCATGTAAGGAAAAATGTATTTTCTTCCTCTTTAAAAAAAACAAAATGTATTTGACCTAAATTTAGACTTGCAGGAGAGTAGTAAAAATAGAGTTACCTTATATCCCTCACTCCAACCACTTCCCTCAGTGTTAACATCTACATAACCGTGGTGCAAGGATCAAGATCAGCAGATTAACGTCCTGACAGTGTAATTAACTAAATCCACAGACCTCGTCTGAGTTTTCACCAGTTTTCCCACTGTCGACCTCGTTCTGTTTCAAGATCCTTTGCAGGCCCCACAATGCACTTTGCTGTAATTTTGCGTTAGTCTCCTCTAGCCTATAATCGTTGCTTAGTCTTTCCTTGTCTCTCATGACCTTGACTCTTGAAGAGCACTGCTGGGTTATTTTGTAAGAGGATCCTTTAATTTGGGCTAATCCAGTGTTTTCTGGTGGTTGGAGTGAGTGATGCATTTTTGGCAAGAATACCACAGAAATGGTGTCCTGCCCTCCTCAGGGCGCCCGCCCAGGGATTCGTGCTGTGGCGGGTCTTGCTCCTGACGGTGGTTACTTTAGGGGGTGGGGGTCGGCAGCTTTCTCAGCTGTGAAGCTGCATCTTCCCCTCTGTAGTTGCTGAGGGTCTCCGAGGAGGTGCTTTGAGACTATTTTTTCTCCTTCTATTTCAGGTGGTTATTAACTTGGCGATGCTTTTGGCTGAGATGAAGTTACAGAATCGTGCTACGCCATCCTTGGCAATGATTTTGGTTAACAGTTTCCAGCTCTTATACGTGGTGGATGCACTCTGGAACGAGGTAATTTTAAGAGCAGAGGCTTTGGGGTCGGATGGCTTTCGGTGTGGGTGAGTGACCTGACCTCTCAGGGCCCTGGCTTCTTATACAAAACGGGGAGAATAAGTCACTGTTAAAGTGGCTTAGAAATTTATGTATGTGTTTGTGGAGATTTAGCCAATCATTGTCTTCTGTTAATTAACAGAAAATGTTTGTATCTTAAGGAAAAACTCTTAGGGCAGTTTTTGCAGAGCCCCAGGATTGGAGATGGGAAGTTATTTTTTTCTGTATGTTATTTTCTCAGCCAGATGAGAGTAAACTTCTTGAGGAAGGGTCTTGATTTTATGATTTTCTCGAGCGTCTGGAACGCTGCTGGGCAATCAGTGGGTGGATGCTCACTAACTTTCTCATTCGGTCGGTTGGTAGACATGCCTCTGTATTTGGATGTGCCACACCTGAAGAGCCCGAGAGTAGTCATTTAAATATACACGACCCCTCATCTGGGCCGCTGCGGGGCTGGCCTGCGTCGGCTCTGACGCCCCTGGAAGGGACCGGGTCGGGCTGCTGCTTCCACCCTGTCCCCTCACTTACCGCTGCGTCTGCTCTTTGTCTGCTCCCACGTTTTCACCCCCTTCCATCTGTTTCGGCCCCCCGGCATCCAGCTGCAGGTCTGGCGAGCCCACGTGCCTACGAGCGGGTGCTCGTGACCAGAGTGTGAGCCCCGGGGGCCCAGAGTCTGAGACGTTCGTTTTTCTGTTCCACGGTCTCTTTGCTTTCTTTCCGGGGGAAAAAAACTGCTCCTTGGAGGTGTCGCTCTTTTTCGCAAACCTAGAGCACTGGGTCTTTAGCAGAGTTCATGCTTGCTGACTTTTCGGCATCAATGCTACGTACAGGTGGACTTGACTTTACTGCGCTTTGCAGATACTGTGTTTTTTACAAATTGAAGGTAAGACCCTCCATCAGGAAAAAGATGACACCTGGTTGGAGGCTCAAATGACAGTTAGCATCTTTTAGCAATAAATTATTTTTAAATTAAGGTGTATATATATATACATATATATATAGTTTTTTTTAAAGACATAACGCTATTGCATGCTTAATAGGCTACAGTGTAGTATAAACATAACTCGTGCATGCACAGGGAACCCCCAGGTTTGTGCGACTCGCTTTGTCGCGGTGGTCTGGAACCAACCTTCCGTGTCTTCGAGGTGGGTGGGCCTGTGCTGTACTGAAGTTAGAAGCAGGTCAGAGACCCTCGGTCCGGGCCTTCTGAGTCTTTTTGGCCTTGGTGTCCCCACATTCCGGGGTCTGGCCCGCAGGTGTCCAGGTCCTGAGGCGATCTGGCTCCCGGCTCATGCTCACCGAATCCTCACGAGGGGGCGCTCGTTTAGCGCGAGTGAAGCAGGCGGTGTCCCGTGTTGCCAGGGAGCTTATTTTCCCATGTGGAAAGTACACGGACAGCCAGATTGCGATCAGAAATCCACCGGTGCACGGGGAACTGAAACAAAGGCAGGTGGCGATCTCATTATTCCTGCAGCAAGTGTGTTTGACCGCTTGCTCCGCGCAGCAAGCAGTGCGCGGCGGGCTGGGGAGGCAGAGGTCGGAACACCTGCTCCGTTTTTCTCTTTCACGGTCTAAGGGGGAGAGAGCCGCGTACAGTCACACATGCGCTTTAGCCTGGGGAGGGTGGCAGCATCTGAGGGGACGTTCCAGGCAGAGGGCACGGCCTGGGCGAAGGCGCGGAGGCGCGAGAGGCGTTTCGTTTGAAGATCTGTTTTCTCAGGATCGCAGAGTGAGCGGGAGGTGTGACCGAGGTGAAGCCGGCAGAAGGACCCAGTGTGACACACGTGCCGGGGACCGGCTTCCCCTCCCCGATTTAAAAAACATTTGGCTGGCGTCCCCTCCCAAAGCCCCGTATAGATTTGACTGTAAACTAGTACTTTATTGGAGTCGTTTAAACGCACTTTTTTTCTCTCTCACATGTTTTTAAGTCCTTTTTCCCTCTGTGCCCTCACAGGAGGCGGTGCTGACGACCATGGACATCATCCATGACGGGTTCGGGTTCATGCTGGCTTTTGGAGACTTAGTCTGGGTCCCATTCATCTACAGCTTCCAAGCTTTTTACTTAGTCCATCATCCGAATGAAGTGTCCTGGCCGGTGGCCTCTCTCATCATTGCTTTGAAGCGTGAGTATTAATTCCGGCCTCCGTGTATTAAATATCACGTGCTGAGTCTGTCGTGCTCTGGTGTCTGCGTATTTATAACGTGCCCTTTAAATGGCTGGAATTAGCTCACTGTTGACGTGTGAGTGATGGACGAGTATAAGATTCGTACGTAGGTTCTTTACTGGTCTCTGAAGAGAGAATTTTTATTCAGTTGACATTTAAAAAAATTTACAGTTGACATTCAATATTGTGTTAGTTTCAGGTACGGCATAGAGATTAGACATTTAAATACTTTCTGAAGTCATCCCTCCGATAAGCCTGGTACCCACCCGGCACCATACATAGGTATTACAGTATCACTGTAATATTCCCAATGCTGTAATCTACACCCCCGTGGCTATTTTGTAACTAGCAATTTGTATTTCTCAATCTTTTTACCATATTCATCCAACCACCCAACCCCTTTCCCATCTGGCAGCCATCGGTTTGTTCTAGAGAGATAATTTTTAAACAAACCATTTGCTTTTAAGTTTAATAAATTTAATTCGAATTGATAAAACGATTTTAAATTCGTTTTAGTAATGATTCCTCTTTTTTTCTACTCCGGGCCTGCTTTTTTGTGGCGGGCACCTTTAAAAGTAGAAGATCAGTCTTCCCTTCGTGGGGCTGACGTTCTAACAGGGGAAGCGAGGCTCCCAGACGCTGGGACGGGGTGTGCAGAGGAGAGCCTGAGAGGGGCGGCGAGACCGAACGGGACGGGGGTTGGAGGCAGAGAGAAGCTCTCTCTGGGGAATATCGGCGTCAGCTTATTGGGGGATATGGTGTTCAATCTGAGTTTGTGGGTAAACACGGGGTGGGGAGGCAGGTAAGTCAGGCAGAGGGGACAGCTCTGGTGGAGTGGTGGGGACGCGGGAGGGGTGTTTGGGAAGGAGTGAGGGGCACAGCTGGGCGGGGTGAAGTTCCCATGGCGATTGTGGGTTAGCCGCGGGGCGGTTTTCCTCTCAAAAGCACGTCCAGAGGGAGAGTAGGCAAGATTAGCAACGGGCTTCAGATCTGGCGAGTTTTGCTACACTCAGAGTGTCTGTGATAGAAGAAGAAATTTAAGCCGCTGGTTAAAATGAAGGTTTTGTTTCATCGCCGGTTTGGTTATCTGTATCAGCCATGCCCATGAGTTACTCAAAACGATATATGCGTGTTTTACAGGTAAGCTGATAATAGGGACTGACAGCATAATAGTTAATAGTCAGTGATATGTCAGGGCCTGTAAACTTTGACATTTTGAAATTTGATCTAAAACTACCAACGTGTAGGTTCGCAGTGGGTTCCGGCGTATATTTACGTGTTCGATGTTCTAGAACTGGGCTTAATCTATACATTCATTAATAAAGTGTTCATGTTTTGGCCAGTAGGTATGGTAACCACCAGAGGAGATACCTCTCTCTCTCCTTCATTATACTGAGTTCTAGTATGGACGTTGTTAGATTTTATTCATGGGCGTCGTTATACTTGTTGGTTTTGGCTTCGGGGTATTCCTAGGTAGGTGACAGAAGCTGTGGGATTTCGGGATAGTTTTCTTGCTCTGGCATTCTGAGATGGAGAGGTTTGGAATTTTTCTTAAGAAATCAAACTGTTATCTACTTTGGAAATGTTCTCAGAGTTCAGAAATAATCTCTCAGTGAAATTACAGATGCTTTTAAGTATTAGATGATATCTCAATTATTAATGTGGGATTTTAAAAAATTTACAGTTTGCGGATATATAATCTTCCGATGTTCAAATATTCAGAAAAATGCATTCCGGAAAAATCCCGCTGATCCGAAGCTTGCACGTAAGTATTGGTTTTATATTTATATTATTTATATTACATGAAGATTTTATGTCTTTATTTGTCTAGCGATCATTACAGATGTATTTTTATTTTCATATAGATTTAAAAACCATTCACACGTCAGCGGGAAAAAGCCTTCTCGTTTCTGGATGGTGGGGCTTTGTTCGCCACCCCAATTACTTAGGTGACCTCATCATGGCCCTGGCGTGGTCTCTCCCATGTGGTAAGCACTTAGGGGGAGGGCTAATGGGACTCTCTGTCCAGCTGCCCACAGGGCGTGTGTCTTAGTTGGGGCAGCGCGGGCAGAGCTGCTGTGAGTGGGTCCCCTCCACTGAGGTCGGGGCTGCCCAGGGCCAACGCTGCCCGCCACCTGTGCCCGTTCCCGGCCGGGTAGTGCCTATCCACCTGGCTTTCCAGGGCATTTCGGAGCCCACGGAGCCTGACGTTTTACTGGAAACTCTTCAAAGCAACATTTTAAGATTTCAACTGTGCCCGATAGCTTTGATCTAAGCAGAATATGTGGAAATTTATTTTTATTCGCGACTCAGGGCACATACATCCTGAAACGCTTTGGCTCTTAAGAAGAGAAGGCGGTTCGGTTTGTACTGGCCTTGGAGGGGCTGTGAGTGGCCCACCCTGCAGTGGTGGGTGGCAGCTGAGTGCCACAGCGGGGGGAGTAGGGACGTTTAGCTTTAACTGTGAGGACAGGTGTCCTTACGGACTGTGAGGATGGGTTCATCGACGCCCCTCTGACTAGCCGTTCATCCGAATGCTGCCTCTGCCCCCACACCGGTGGGATCTCACCAACCGCTTCACCCGTTTCCCCCGTTTTTGAAGAAGACGAAGTTCATGTAGAGGGTCTGGGGGAAGGGCAGGATCCCCGTCCTGTCGTGTAGTGGCGATGCCAGAAGCCCCGCCCTCTGCTCACTGTCGTTCTCCACAGGCTTCAACCACATCCTGCCCTATTTCTACGTGATCTACTTCGCGGTGCTGCTGGTCCACCGGGAAGCCCGCGACGAGCGCCAGTGCCGGCGGAAGTACGGCCTGGCCTGGGACAAGTACTGCCGGCGCGTGCCCTACCGCCTGCTGCCCTACGTGTACTGACCGTGTACTGACCGTGGGCGCCGGCCCCGCCGCCGCCGCCCGGCCGAACCCGGACCGACGCCCCAGCCAGCCCCGCCTCGTCGCACTGACAGGAGCTCCGAAGTCTCGCTTTCCCTCCGAGTCAGGACTTCAGAGCCGAGTCGTCTTGTTGTAATGGAGCCACGTTTATTTTTATTAAATCATAGCAACCTAAGAGAAACTGTAAAGGTGTTAGACTTTGCATTCCAATAGGAAATTTTCAGTCCTTAAAAATCTGTAAGCAGTAAACGGGCTTATAAATGCACTGAGAATACTATTGATGTTTATGGGTTTTGATTATTTTTCAGATTTTGATCTTTTTTGTTTTATAAGTTGATTCTCTTGAAATGAAAACACTGTCACATTTAGAGTACATTTATGTTTTATTGCATTGAGAACAGAATTTCATTTCCCTTTAAATTAAATCATTTACTAGTTATGTGATTTGAAAATAAAAACCAGGCTTATTGATTTTTATTGAATGCCGTATGTCAAGAGGATGATAGCTTATCAGTAAGCACTGTTTGAAGGAGATGGTTAGTAATAGATTGCTTAACCTCCGCTTCTAAAACTGCATTTGAAATGTAAATACATAACTTTTATGTAATATATGGTGACTTCAGATTTTTTTGTACAGTATTTTGAATGTGAAATAATCGCCAGGACTAAGTATCTTTTTAACAAAAACATTTGCAGTATTTTAAATGAAGTTTTGTAAAGTAATACATGTGAATTAAAATTTTTGAAACAATTAGAATTCACTTAATATTGTGTAAAAGATGCTATTAAGATATAAGAAGGGTATTTTTCTTAATCCAAAGTTTGTGAATTTGGCTTCTCTACCTCAATTGCAGGTGTTTGTTTGCCTTTTTAAACTGCTGCAGATAGAAAGAGTAGAATAAATATATATTTTTGGAGTAACATCACTATTTAAACATTTTTACAAAGATTGGTGGCTGAAAATTTGCCATTTCAGGCTAATATTTTTGTATGTTTTTGACCTTTTTAATTAAGCTGTGTTTTTGCTACTGTTTAGCTCATGCAGTTTATACTGTATTTTTTTATATCCTTTATATGTACAAAACTAGCAACCTAAGAGAGTTCAGGAGTGTTGTGTTCATTTTTAGAAGTCTCTTCATCTAAAAACAATTTAAGGAAATAGTTTAAAATCATTTCGCGCTTTTAGTTTAATAGATGTGCATAAGGTAGCTTTAGTTATTAAGCTGATATAGTCTCATCTTTAATCTATAATGGAACATCAAATTCACTAAACTACTATATTCAAATTTAAATTCTTCTCAGTATCTTAAATATAGGGGAATCTAATAAATACGTATATATGTTGGGTTTTTAATTATACATTTTAAATACGAGCCGTTTAGATGTGCCGTGTGCACTCTGCACTGCAGCTTGAGTCCGTGGCAGCGTGTGATCGAGTCCGTGGCAGCGTGTGATCGAGTCCGTGGCAGCGTGACCGCGGGAGTCGCTCGGCGTTCTGCATCCCGTGGTCCTCCACGCTGACTTGGTGGGATTGTCAGCGTTGTGTTAGTGCCGTGCGTGCGAGCAGTTTCTCATTATGCTTTTCATTTGGCACCAGAAAGTAGCATCCCGGTCTAGATTCACCACAGAAGTGTTGCGGGAGGAAGAAGGACTTTTAATTTATCCCTGGCAATGAAAAAGGAGCTCGTCACCAGCACAGGGCTGCCGTTTCTGGATTCCAGCTACAATTTGCTTCTCATTGTGTTGTCGACATGTTTATTTGATAAGTTTTATAATGAAGTTTTAAGTTAGAAATAAAGTCGAAAATAAAAAGATGTTCTTTTGATCACTTTGGAGCTTCATGTGGTTTTTTTTTTTTGCCGCTAATTCTGGGATCATTGGAATCGAGACTGACTTTCCCTGGAGTCATTTGTTTGGGTCCCTCCTGGACCACAGGCAAACGGGGCCCCTGGCTGACTGCTGCTTGCATAGGGGCTCTTGGAAACGAGCTCGAGTGGGTTAGTGGGGGATCCCGGTGCCCAGATAATGGCCACAAAGTTAGTATTTGCTGTTTGAGAAAATAAATGATCACAGCTATTGCAGATTCAGTAATACTTTCAAAAGAATCTGTGCTGATCACCAGAGCATCTATGTACATTGGAAGGACAGTACATGTGACAGGCATTGTGTCAGCTAGGTGAGGTCAGACACCCTCACATCTGTGTCTCTCTCCCCAGGGTGCTTTGTAGAGGTGGGTGTCAGAATCTGCACAACATCAAGTAGGTTAAAAATATCACATTGTGTGATAGAGATCTTGGTCTCTGTGTGTTGGTAGTTCCCGTAAATCATGGACTATTTTAGCAAACCCTGGGTAATTCCTAAAACCATTTTAGCAAATGAATTGGACCAAATTGGGCCATTCCCGCCTTGTACCTTTCGTTAACATCCTATACTTTATCATTTTTCTTACTGGTCCCTAAATGACAGGGACTAGGTCTTTAAATGCTTTTCTGGAGCGTTGTGAGTAACTAGGCTCTTATTGTATGTTTTCGTGATGCTACTTTCTAGTAGACCAGATTTATAGACATAACAGTAAGTAGATGTTTCTATTTTGTTCATGGCTGTCAGAGTCTGGTCCTGGGTACGAGCCCCACTTTTCCCACTTCTTACTACAGAGAAGGATTGTCGGTCTTCATTTGTGTACACACGAGCACGTTTTCTGCCAATGAACCCATTGCCACGGTAAAGTGACAATGAATGTGGCTTTGAATCCCGGCTCTGCTCCCTCTCGGCAACGTGAGCTTGAGCAAGTCACTGGCTCTCTGAGCTCGTTTCCTCTCGTATAAAATTGGGCTGACAGACCACATTGTACATAGGTGGTCTGAGGGTTGTACGGGAATTCTTACTCGTGCCCGGCATAGCACTCAATAATAAAAACTCCGCCTACAGAAACACCTTCTGACCCTAACCCAATTTGCTGAATTCTTAGGACTGCCTTTTCAGAGGGAAGGAAGGTCTGAAGTCAGAACGAGACTGTCTTTAAGGCAAGCTCCTCCTCCTCTTCTCGTCTCGGAAGCTGTGGTGTCTGGTTTTGTGTGACTCAGAGCATCGGGGGGAAAGCATCCCAAGGACCACTCCTCACACGTGTGGTTAGTTTACTGCCTATAACCGCGGATCTCGCTGTTTGGAGTCACAAGGTTCATGAAAACACACCCTGGTATCTTGCCAGGTGCCGTGGTTTTCATTTTTGGAAAAGTCAAACCAGCTGCAGCTCAGGACACGCTCACTGTCCTAAACCAGAGCCCGTCTGCACTAGGAAGAAAAGCAGCTGGAACTTTCCCCTCTCGCCGGGTTCACGTACCAGTGGGAGGAAGAGATTGCACTTGCCCGATCCGGCTGAAAAAAAATTTTTTTTTACAAAAGGTATTGCGTACGTGTGAATATCTTGAAACACGTAAATCTGGTTAGAGTCAGAAATTCAGTGGTTTCGTATGGAAGTTTATTTTTCGTCCTCCTCACACAGCAATGCGACCTGCATTGTGATCCAGTGACTCGGAGGCTTCTTCGTGGATAAATACACCGATGTTAAGAAGTTCGAAGGGAAGCCAGTTTCTGGCAAGGTCCTTGACCTCTCAGGTGTCTGGTAAACTGGGCATTCGAAAGTATAGAGTTCTGATTCTGAATCTGTCTGGTTAGAAGCATTTGGACTTTGGGTGGAAATCTGAAAAAAAAAATTCAAGAGTCAAATTGCATAGTTCAAGCAAACTAGTAGCTCACAGTTTCTAATATGCTAGATTTGGAGGATTTGTTACAAATTAAATACATTTAAGGTTAGGTGGTTACGTAACTTCACACGGAAATTATGCCTGAAAAAGTCCATTTTAAGGCGTAATTGTCATAGCTTTATAGTACATAATAAGAAAAAACATCGGATGTGGGCAAAACATCTATTTTAGGGCTTAGCGATATTTTAGGCTATTTTAAATGTTTTCCGTCTGACGTATATTATCCAATTTCCATAGCGAGATCATGGGGAATGGGAAACAGTTTGTGTTTCTGAGGGGGAGCTCCGAGGTTTAGGATTCGCGATAAACATTTGGGTGGTTACCTTCGTTGGCAAGAAGTATATTTCGGGAAAATCACAACATATTTCATAAGGCAGCGAGTCTTCTAATATCTTTTGTTCATGATTCCACCTTGCCCCCTCGATGAACAAACCAAAAACGTGAACGCCGACGTGTTTGGAGTCTGTGCCCTGAGATCAAAGAAAGGAGATGTTAGTGGGTCCCCAGCAGGTGGACCTTTAACAGAAGGTCCTTTAACAGGAGCTCCATTCCCAGGAGCAGGAGCAGGGCAGTGACAGAGAAAGCGGGTGGCTCCCTGTCCAGCCCAGTGAGGGACCACCTCTGCGCGAGGCAGGTCTTCCCAGGTTCTAAGGTGGGCTCTTCAACAAGTTCGGAGGCTTCGGTCTACACGTGAGGATCCCGAATCGACAAGTAGAACTCCGAATTTTCAGAATTATAACCCTTAGCCTCGCTTTTTAGAAGAGAAAGAGAACAATAACAAAATGAGGTAAAATCCACCGTGCTGACACTTTGTCACCTACTTCTACCATTGTGGCTGCAATGGTTCATTCGGGAATTTTAATTTAAATTTGAAAAGTCTAGGAGGGGTTCTACATCAGATCTTTGACGTGAAAAGGGTTAAATGCGTTTCCGATAAATTCTGTTACGTAGAAAATTTTGTCGCCAATTTTGGGGGGCCCCAGGTGTATCCTGGGTGGGCCCGTAAGGTGTGTGGAGGAGCTGGGTGGCCCAGCACGATGTCCCCCGGGAAGGCTCGACAATTATGAAACACTTAGGAAAATAATCTGACGATAATTTTCTAAGACCAATATGAAGAAAACAAAACTGACTAAAAGATACCAATAAGCTGACGAAATGGGAAGACAAGTCACACTGCTATATGGAAAAACTCAGTGTCAAAAGGTGGCAATTCTCTCCCAAATCTACATGTAAGTGAACTGAAACCTGACCCAAATCCCAGCGGGTTGTTTAAAAAGGTGACATGTGATCGGCCTAGTCTCAAATTCATCTGGAAGAGAAAAGCGTGCAAAAGTCAAGACAGTTTTAAAAAGGAACGAAGGAAGACAACACGGATATCAGCATGGCCCAAAGCCATCTGCAGATTCGGGGCAATCCCTATTAAAATCCCAACGATAATTTTGGCAAAAATAGAGAAATCCATCCTAACATTCATATGGAATCTCAAGGACAACCGAATAAACAAAATGATCTTGAAGAATAAAGTTTGAGGTCTCGCGCTTCCTGATTTCGAAGCTTCCCTCAAAGCTACAGTAATTAAGACTGTGCCACTGGCATAATGACAGCATGTAGAATAATACGACAGAATAGAGAACCTGGAAATAAACACTCAGGGATGCGCTCAAATGATGTGCGGTGTA